ATTTGTTTGGAAATCTGTTAGCTGCTACTTTAAAAGAGACTTTTCCATCGTGACCTATAGCAAGATTCAGGTTTTCTAATTATATGCCTTTGTAGGAAAAAGTTAAAACCAAATGATCTTCTTTTCACTGCACATGGATGAAATTCACAGACACTGTAACCTGTCTCCAGCTCTGCCATAGAGCATCCAACACCGGTGTGTATGAAGTATGGCATGGAGTGCTTAAATCCCAGGTGCTCGTGTTTTGGATGCCCTCTAGTGGCTACTGCAGCTGTAATAGTTCTCCTATAGGACATGTTGAACAGTTGCAGTTAAATAATAATAAAGATTGTGTCTAGAAAGGAAAACAAATTTTGTGTGTTATTTGCTGGTTGCTTTCTCATTGCTCTTTCTTTATCTGGATTAAATCCCAATCCTCCGCTTTGGAAAAAGTTCTTGTGAATACAAACACGAGATAGTAACTGGATATCTTATGGATCTCTAGATCCATAGCAACTTGCTATGGAGTTTTATTAGAGAATGTTTTGTTCTTTACATTAAAACTTATATTTTCTCTCTAAACAAGTAGTAAGTGGAAGAGACATGCTTGCTGGTGTCACTAGAACCAGAATTTGGTTCTTATGTATGTGTATTAATTGCTTTAAAAAAAAAAAGTTATTTTTTTAAGCAATGCAAACAGGACTTTTAAACTCATCCCCTGCTGTGTCTGCAGTTTGCAACTGGGATAACCTGAAAGTCAAATAGAGCAAAAGCCTGGCTGCAGTATTGCATGTGGTTTTTGTGCCTTCACTTAAAAGGGTACTGTGGGAACGTGGATGACTGTAAAAACCAGAGCACCATTTCAGAGCCGCAGGACACCGGGGCTCCGTCCCTGCCCCAGCACCTATGGTGGCTTTGAGCAGTGCCAGTGCCTGGTGGGACCCCTGGAGAGAGGCTTCCCAGCCCCGCATCCCACAGCTGCCTTGCAAGCGGTGTGCTCTCCAGGCTTATTTTTAACTGCTGATTTAACAGGTGCGTGGCAGATACAGCATACCCTGAGCAAAATGGCAGCCAGCAAGGAATCGTGACACCTCTTCCGAGGCTCTGGCAGGATTTCAGCTGTATAAACAGTGTGTCTGTCGGCTGGTGCTGGGTAGCGGCGTGGGCTGAGAGCAGACCTCGCCTGATCCCACCTGAAATGTTCTCTTGCCTTAGAGCAGGGATTAAGGACTTGACATGGTTTTAATATAGTGAAGAGTTTTATTTGTCATTTTTTTTAATTTTTAGGGTGGATGCACTTGCTCTCAAATAATTTTTGAAGGAAAATCGGTGTTTTGCAAAGGTCAGAGTCTCCCTCCCAACTCCTTCCCTCCTCTGGTCTCTGAACCCCAGCAGGCCCAGTTGAGGTGGTGTAACTGGGCTGTGCTGTGCAGGCAGCTTGCCAAAAGCCTAAGAGCTGTACCGAGTCTGCACATACATGGCACAGGATTTTAACTGGCAATAAGTACATGAAGAGTGGGGTTTTTTTATAGGCTGTTGTAAGTATGCACAGCACTCCTCAGCGAAAACAGACAAAATAGTCTTTGAGGCTTTTGGGAAAATGAGTGTCTACAGGAACAAAGTTTCATAGAAGCAGGGTTTAAATTCTTAGTATTTGGCTTTTTTCTTTGAGAGGACCATGCATGCTGTGAAATTCATAAAGTCTGTTAATAGTCTGATTTTGTTTTTTGCATTTATAATAGGAAAAGTCTATTCATAAATGTAACCCTACCAAAGAGGCTTGCACATATAGTTGCTTGCCAATGCAGGGCTGAATGCAGGTCACTCAGCAGGCCTTTCTATAGGCACTGGGCAAGCCGTTTCTGGTCTGCGGGACCAGGATCTGGGCTGGAGCAGTCTCTGACCCAGCTCCTGCCTGTCCCTGCTGGTGCTCGCTTGCTGAGTCACCGCAGGTGGCTTCACTTCGGTGTGCCCACCTCTCCTGCAGCTGTGAAGCAGGGGAAGGATGCCAGCCTTTTTTGTGTTAGGCAATTAAATGCATTTAACAAAAATTTGGTGTAATTTCGGGTGCATTACTCAATGAAGTCATCCTTGGGCTGTGTTGAAGGGGAACCTTGAACAGTGTTTTGGATGAGGGATCGAGAATGACTGTTATTGTGGTTTTGTGGCTTTTCTCCTTATTTCATCCCTATGGTGAGGACTAGTAAAAATCCTCATACTTGTTGATGAATTGCTGTCTGTCTCAACCCGTGCTGGCTTTGTCCTGAAGTGCAGACATAGGCTGGGGTTGTGGGGGCATGTGGAATCAGAGGATGGGGAGCTGATTTTAGCACCCTGAACATGTTACAACTCCCCTTCTTGAGATGGGAAGTAGTCACCATGGGCCAGCTCCCATGGGAGGTTGTTTGCCTCTTCGGGGGGGTGCAGTCTTGGATTTCCTTCCTCTGAGAAATACAGGGCAGGGACTTGTGTGTGTGTGTGTGTATATATATAGTTTTTTTTTTTTAGGGAATTGAAATAAACTGTTTGAAAAGAAAACAAATAGGCACATGCAACTTCCAGAGTTTTCCTGGTTTCCATACTGTAGTCTGCTTACTGTATCTAAAATTCCTTCTCTCTAGCCAGCTGACATTTCTTGTGTTCAGTCTCCTTTCCTGGCAGAACTGAACTGAACTCACTGCAGGTTCCTCTCCTGCTCTCTCTGCTTCAGCCAGGTTTGACAGCCAAGGGTGGGGGGACTTGCAGGCGGTGGATGGCTGGGAGGAGGGAGGGAGCCCAGCTGAGGGGAGGCTGCAGCATGTGTGGGTCTCTGAGCCGACCTGCAGCATCTGAGCTTGTGTGATGGCTCCCCGCCAGCAGAAAACAACCATTGTCACTTTTTTAATTGGGCATGGAGGATGCAACCGTGAATTACAGATCTGTAGAAAATCTGGCAACCGCTCTGCATGTTGGCAGCATGCTACTGTTTAATGTCTTAACCCACTCTATGTTGTCAAATTCATTTTTGTCTCTTGTAAAGCCCTTTTTCCTTGTGGTCAGCGTCCCCGCTGTCTGAGGGGCTCTCTGGGTGGGTCGGCTGCCCATCCCTGTTGGGCTCACCCTGAGCACTCCCCTCTGCCCAGCAGCCTCCAGGGCAGCTGGCTCACCCAGCTCCACTGCGGCTGCGGGCCGGCATCATTAAAATAAGTTTTCTGCCTCTGCTCTTTGAACCATTGGTGTGTTGAAAGAAAGAGGGCATGTCTCATGAGCCACCTTTGTCTGGACTTGCAGAGAGTTATCCAGGTGTAATGCTGAGGAAAACGCTGGTGTAAGCTGTTCAGCCAAAGGAAGTGCGCGTGGTGGCTGAGGACAGTATTGCTCTCGTGTCCTGCAGCTGGCCCCCCTTTGGAGTGATGGACCCCTTTGAGCTGATCCAGAGCATTGAGCAACTGATCGTTCCCTGGGATAGCTTTCTTCTGCTTTAAACTTCCTATATTGGATTGCTTAATGATCATGCTGCGTATGACTTTATTTCATAGTATTTCTAGCATAATTGTTGAAGGTTAAATATTGGCATGTATTAAGAATGCATTGATGTGTATCAGGAATGAGGAAGGTAAAGTTACTTGGTGAATTGATGTTTGAAAGTGAGTGTTTCACTCCTAGAGGTTAAGTGGTGAGCGTTGCCTGATCCTTTCTGTAAGGACAAAAACTTTGAATACTTGGGTTCAGACATATTTAATCATCTTAACTGATGATGAAGCAATTACTGAAATGTTTCTCATACTCTGCAAAACAAATCCATGTCAGGAAATAAATACAGAAGTAAATGGCTTGGCTTTCGTGACCAAGCACTTAAGCAGCCTGTTAATGATTTGAAAAGGCAACAACAGAAGATATCTCAAAGAAAAATGGCAATATCAAACTTATTTTCAAGTTTCATCTGCTTCACTAGAGTTGAAAAATGAAGACAAATACTTACACGTAAGAAGAATGGTAGTGAATCAGTGCCTTGGTCAAGGAGAATAACTTGTTTTGCACGTACTACTTGCCTCTGCTTTTGACTGAAATTTTATGGCATGTGATGAGGCCAGAGAGTCTCTGTAGGAACCAAGTAGCATAGGACAGATGAGCCCTTCTGAGTCATCTAGGCCTGCTTGTTGGGTTAAATCCCATTGAAGATTGATTGTAGTTAATCTCTATCCCTTCATAATAGTGATCACTTAAATGCATAGTTTAAGAAACTGCAGAAAAGTTCCTTTCAGAAGCCTGTTAAATAATCTTTATTTCATAGTAAAAATTGGAGCTTTATTTTCTTGTAAAGACCAAATATCCTGGAAAAGATTTGAAATACACAAGAGAATTCACTCCTTCATTTACTGTTATAGAGGGAGCATGTGCCTCTACTGATATGCTGGAAACAGCCTGAGTTTTCACACAGGTGAAATGAAGCTGGGCCATTGAAAGGAAAACCCTTGGAAAAGCAGCTTGAACTGGGAAATTACTCTTCTGAGAGTGGTGTCTCCCTTAAATATATCTTGCTCTTTTTCTTGCCACCTAGCAATGGTTTCTGCTGGTTAAAGAAAGTTATTCAGAGTTTTCTGGCTGAGGTCTTGTCTGTTTCCCCTCAAAGCCCAAATAATACACAGTTTGTGGGCCTTCTTTTCAGTTCACAATAATTTAACTTTTTAATACCTGGTTGAAAGAGCATATATTCTATTTTACATGCCTGCTTGGTACTGAAAGGGTTCATGTTTTCCTACTAGCATGCTTCTAAATATGCACTGTAGTTGCACGTGATGTTTCTGTGACTCAAAAAAAAAAAAAATTAGATTTAAGAAATTGCAGTAAATTATGAATTTTATAAATGAAGGAAATTACTTAGGAAACAAGACAGTAAAAAGGACACCAATCAACCTTGGTTGTTCTGCGTTTTGTATAAGGAATTGATGAAAGACATTGCTAAGCAGTGATTTTGGGGTGGTTACATTTTAAGACAACAGTGAAAGTGTACACAGCTCCCATGTCTCTTCTCTTTCTGCAGCTCTACAATGGTAGATGGAGTTATGATTCTTCCTGTGCTGATCATGATGGCGCTTCCCTCCCTGAGTTGGCAAGGTGAGTGACGTGCGTGGTGGTGCAGTAGCTGTCTGCTGCTGGAGGAGCCGGGTTCGAGCGCCGGCTCAGCTGTTGGAGCCGCCTGGCACTGCTCCACGGCACCCTGCTCGCTTCACGAGCTGACGGCATGGGCAAATTCCTCTCAGGAATGAGATGTTTGCTTTTCCATTTCAAGTTGCTTCAAAGGATGTTCGTTGCCGTTTATGTATAAAATGTATAGCAGGTGCGATTGGCATAGGTCTTGTCAGGGCCTGGGGAGGGAAATGGGAAACCTTGTTTGAATGGCAAGTTATTGAGCTATGTAACGAGTAGGCCTCTCTAGCCCATGGGCTGAGGTGCAGTTGTTGTTTGCATTCTTAGAAGCGAAGTTTTTTCTCTGGGAAAGCTCTTTGGAGTATTTAGTGTGGTGTTAGATAACTTTTCAATGATTGCTCCACTAAGGTCTTTGAATATGGAAAGTGACTTTTTCATAAATCGTCTATGGCAGTTGTGTGCACATAAAGGTTTTATGACATGCAGTACATTTAAGACTTGCCTCAGCAAAATCAGAGAAGGGTGTTTCCACTGCCGTGGAGAGGCAGGAATGGTTCATTTGAAGGTCTTCTGGATGTTTTGGGAGACGACCTGAAAGATGCATACTTGCTACTTGCAAACAGCCTTTTAAAAATGTTGAATAAAGGTTTTCTGTGAGTAACTTGGTTTGCTCAGTTTTAAATTTTAAGTGACTCGAGAGGTGTATCTAGTGTTTGTTACGGCATATCTATGTTCTTTTGTGTTTACCTTGTGAAATCTCTTTCTGAAATACTCTGCTAAAATGCATTTATTTTCAAATGTTAATGCAAATAATAAAAGGGAGAGTACATTAAATGGAATGTTAGCATGGATGGTGGAAGGTGAAGATTAAAAACGCACAGAGGTCTAGTGGTTGACTTTAGTCATGTCTATGAATAGGAAATTGAGACAAAATTTAAAAAGGGAGGAACGCTGGACAAATGTTAGTGGAAATACATTAAACCGCTAATGTTATTGATACAGTATTATCTTGAAATAAGGTTTGGTAGCAGTTATCACACTGTACCTTCTTATCACTCTTGAAGTGCAGCTATCTGAAAAAACATTTGATAAGCAGCTTTCAAAGCTGCTTATATTAAAAATCTTAAAGTTCAACCACCTGCCTTTCACATCCTTAACATGAAGAGCAGTAGATGGGGAAGAGAAACACATGGAAACACATGGAGCTTCTGGTTAATTTCTCTTGTACAATGTGTGGAATCAGACACTTGCACTACCTGCACAGTGCAACCTATAGAGCAGTATTATCAACCCACCCTACCCTTCCAAAGCTACCCTACATGTGTTCAAATCTTAGTTATTTGACCTGACTCCACTTAAAAAAGGAAAGTAGGTGCTAGGGCTTAGAACGGTATCTTTTTATTGAAAAGATGCCAATAAGTGATCAGGAGGAGAAGAGTTACTAAATCCATGCCAAGACATTTTCTTTCTTTCCCTGGCTGTCTGTAATACTAAGACTGGAGGTACAGGATCACGCCTCATCTGGGAGCAAAGGCAGAGCTGGGCCAGATGTGCTGCTGGAACGCGCTTTGGACAGAGTTTGTGTGGGGGCAGGAGCATGTGAGCAGAGATGTGCAGATGTTGTGTTCTTGCTGTCCATCTGCCTGTGCCAACGGGACATCTACGAAGAACAGAGTTTCCTGTTCACGATGTGGAGCTGCCGTGCCGAGAGAGAGCTTGTCCAATAATGCTTTCTAAAGAACTCTGTGTTTGGGGCTGCATTTCTCTCCCACGGTGATAGAGCTCCTGTGAAAGACTTTGTAGAAGAAACATGATAATCTTGCTTTGCTTTTCTTGCTTTATTCCTTCCCTTCTCCTCCCCTCATATTTTCTTTGTCTGTGAGCAACTTCTTGTCTAATGCACTTAAATAATACTGCTCTTCCCTCTTTTCATGTTTGCTAGTAGTAATGCTGTTCTTTTTCCTTTGGAAATAGTTTCCTACTTCCAAGCTGGTTGTAGAGGGGTGTTTGGGGAGGCAGAAATACCTAGTGGACCCCTCAGCAAACTTTCATTTACATCTCTTCATCTAGGTTTTGGCTGCTTCACCAACCAGACACATGGTAGCAATGGGAGAACTCACCGCTTTGTTCCTTGAGCATCTAAGTGCCGCTCGGTGCTTATGAGCCAGCAGCCTATGCTAGGGCTAAGGTGGTAAGACCAGAAGCGCAGACTTGTGTTTGGAATGTTTTTCAAGGGGGAGTGCACCTTTAGAGATCCTTTGAGGGAATGGAAGTTGATCCTCTGCTGCCTGCTAACATTCCCATATGCTTTTTCTGAATTTTTTAAAAAGTTGATGTTCTGGGGGAGAACAGTTATTTTGTCTTCCCTTTGCACAAAATAACAAAAAAAAAAAAGTGTGAAGCCTTCTGATTTTTTTCCCCGTGTGTTTTATCACAGATCAAGCCACTTCCTTTCACTGGGATTTGGGCTAAGTTTGGGGTTTTTGCATTTTTGATGAGTGAAAAATGTCTGGGCATATCTTTGGGTAGCATTTGGGGTAGACTGACTATTTCTGCATTGCTATTAGGCTTCAGAAGATGAGATTAAACATGATTTAAAAAAAAAAAAAAAGCAACTCCACAACCCAACCCAGAAAATCACTGGGTAGAATTCTAAGTGCAGAAACACGTCTCTTCCCTACTTGAGTGTCCAGAAAATCCTTTTATTCTAAAGGTTTATTACAGCACTTACTTCTGTGTTACTTCTTTATTAGCCCTGTAAAGTGGGGAAAGGGGCTTTTCTTCATTTCCCAAGAAGCTAAACGCTGACGAAATAATGTCATGCCTATGCTTGAGAGCGTGAGGTTTCTCACTTCCTAGCGACCGTGCACAAATACCGTTTTCTGCTCCCAATGGCAATGTTAGGAGCATGGTGCATGAAATGCTGCCGATGCTTCTGCCCTCTCTAATGGCTGGGGGAAGGCATCTGGGCCGTGTTCTGACTGCTCTGGCTGCTGCAGCTTCCCTGCCAAACGCAGTCCCTCTCCTGGCTGTGAGAGCCGGGCAGGCTGGAAAGGGTCTTGTGTCACACCATGGCCAGGAAGCATTTGGGAGCTACTGAAACTCCAGAAACTACTGTCTGGCCTGCTGGAAGCTGGCTCTGGGAACAGCCTAACCCCCTCTCCAGCAGCTGGGCTTTTGGGGAGGCTGCCCTTCTGTGGAGCCGCGCACCTCTGCCCGGCCTTGGAGCTCTCCGACTGACTGTCACTGTCTGTAGCGCCTGTGCTTTTTCTGTTTTAGGGTTTTTTGTAATATGGAGAACAATAATAAGACTAAACAGCTGTTCCTTAGTGCTGGAAAATTCAAAGGATTTTGTTAAATTAATAAATCCTATATAAAATAAATTAGGCTGCCCAGGGAAGTGGTGGAGTCACCATCTGTGGAGGTATTTAAAAGACATGTAGATGAGGCGCTTAGGGACATGGTTTAGTGGTGGACTTGGCAGTGTTAGGTTTACGGTTGGACTCGATGATCTTAAGGGTCTTTTCCAGTCTAAATGATTCTGTGATTAAATGATTCTGTGATTATTATTATGCCTGTTGTATAATGCTTGTTACTGTATGCATTGAGAAAGAGAAAACTCTGAATGGAGTAGTCATCTCTGCAAGCTTATTATTTTTTGTTTCCCTGAAATGGCTAAGAATTATAAAGGGAAACTAAGCACCAAAAAAGAGCTGTCTAATGTACAATTAAATGGACTCTAAAGAGATTTTAATTTTTCCAAGTCTGCTTTCCTTCATCTTCAATTCATTATGATGTGAAGCCCTAGCAGATCCCACCTCTTCCCCCAGTCCTAGTCATTTAAAAAGAACATTGCTGCTTTTAAATGTTTTGGCCTTCGAGCGTGAAGTCCCTTTCGTCCTACTAGAGATTTCAGCAACTCTGTAGCTTCCAAGAACTCTGAAATAAGCTTCACCTGTGATTTGTAACCTTTCTGGTTTGATTTCAGGGTTTTCCACTTGAAAAGAGTGATCCTGCTTAGCAGGTGCTCCTGCTCAAAGCCAAGCAGCAAGCCTACAAAAGGGATAACAACCATAGTACGGCTCCGAGTGGTCTCGGGTTGGAAAGCCGGAGCCCGGTGGCTCAGGGCTGGGATCGGCCGCGCGTGCCTGAGGCTAGCCGATGACTGCAGTGTCTGTGCATGTTCAGTATGCGGCCACGGAGGCACAGTGCCTTCCTGCTGCACAGCTGTGGGCTGAGCTGGAGGAGAGCTACCGGACGGATCTTCTCTGCCCTCTCGCTTGTGACTGAAGGTGTCACTCCTTTTTGCTTTTCCTCACTCTTCGGTAAAGAAGAATCAATTAGACGGAATTGTGCCTCTTAAACTTAGGCTGATGTGAAGTCATGTCTTGGTGAGCGAAGGACTAGTTTGTTTAAGGCTTGTTTACCTCTGTCCATCCTTGGCCACCTGGCTTTTTTTTCCAGCCACATATTAAGAGGTCTTGTGTCACGTAGATTATCCCTCTGAACACTCGCTCGCATGCATGTGCTAAATATATATTACATCTGTGTAATAAGATGTCCTAGTTTTTATCTGCAAGGTGAAATTTTGAAAGGGATGATATGCAGTGGTCGTGCCTCACTGGAAGGAAATTATTTGATATTGTTAAAGCCCTTCTTTAAAAGGTACATGTAATATAATTAGAGTCTGTGTCTTTAGAAAGAAAATTGAGACTCTTATGGTGTGTGTGTATATATATGTTTTTACTTTGTTATGCTTTTAAAAATTATTTCAGTTCAATATTTGCTGACCATGTCACATAGTTAACGTAAGCATTTTTTCAAGTCAAAGCAACTGTGTTGCTCTAGTGCCAATAAGAAAAAGTGGCCAAGTGCCTATTGTACTAGCTGTTTCGATGGAAAATGAATCACTCTTCTAAATGTGAAGAGATCACCTCAAAATTAAGGTGTGTTACCAGAAACATATGTAGTGTATTTCTCCTTGGAGAGAAGTTTGGTGTTTTCCCAAACAGTTAACAATGTTTACAGTCCAGGAATTGGATATAAAATATGAAATAAAACTGTCTAGATTGGTAACAGGTTGTGTGAAACAAACTTCACATAGAAGTAAATGACTTGTCTTTGTTTCCTTGCATCTGTACATTTCCATCGTTAACCAGTGTTCTGAGTCTTATGGTTTGGTGTCCTATGGATTCAGGTTGGGACGGCTGAGGCTGTGTGCCTGCACATGAGCACTGCACGCAGCATAACGTGTCCTGTGCAGTCACCAAGAGGGTTAAATGCTGCACCTTCCAGTTTACTGATTAAAATGTGGAGTGTCTTCGTTCTTGTTCTGTTGAAATACCTAGATAATTAGTCAGCACTTTTAATTGTTGACTTTCACAAAATGAATAAGCAAACAAAATAAAGGAGCTTCAATTTTAACACTTTCATAATAATGAACTAATAAACTAGTTAATGAGAAGTTAACGCAAATCTCTGTATCTTTGTGTGGCAAGTCAGATTTTTGTGTGTGTGTGTGTGTGCAAAATATATATATGGGCCAGAAGTGCAGCAATGAGTCTCTGTATTACGAAACAAAAATATATGCAGTGAATGTGTTTAGGTAATGGAAGTATTTTTAAGCTTGGCTTCTTGCCTGCACGTGTTGCCTGACTGCTACATAAGTAGTTGGCCTGACAGCCTTCCATGCCTGGAGCTATTGTTGAGTAGATACTTACCTCTGAGCGTGTGTGTTTGGGGGAGTTGATCTGCTTCAGCCATAACCTCTTGATTGCAACTGGCCTGTGGCATTTGCTGGTCACATCTGCTCTGCAGACTTGCTCGCACAGCTATGCTCGTGAGAGCTATGGAGAAGTATCACCCAGTCCAGCTCTGTCTCTGCTGTGGATTCACTGTATGCCAACAAAACTGTGCTTTGCAAGTGCAGCTGGTTTCACTTTGGGGAAATATGGCTGGGATATCCAGCCCTTCATAGCTGGCTTTGTGCATGGGGAGAGTGCTTTGTGGGTATAGTACAGTGGTTAGCTTGTACGTGTTCACTGAAGCATCGGCCCGTCTGTCTGATCTCAGGCTTCTGACCTGCAGCTCTGTCTTAGCTGGTGGCCTGCAGAGGCAGGAATGGGAGGACATGGTCAGTGCTTTGGCTGGTTCTGCAGCCTGAATAAGCCTTCCTGTTTGGGTAAAGCTCAACCTATTTTTTAAGTGAGTGTGGCACTGCAGGAGCATTAATGAGGGAAGGGCTGGCTGGTGCATGGTAATACGCCATGGAGTTGGAAAACCAACTAAGTAAAGAAAGGAGCAGTTTGGGCATAAGGAATAGTAACAGTCATGAAGGAGAGTGTCACTGTTTCCAACCCAGGAGCTCTTCACCAGAAATGTTTCATTTTTACAGCCGATAATTGGTCTGTAGTGGTCCATGGACACATCAGAATCTGCAGCAGTTCACATGCATGTAGTCAGTGTTACTCTGTCTTCATGCTCTGTTAAATGGATCCACAGCCTGTGTGTCATGTTAGATCGCTCGCCCTGCCTTCAGACTAGAGCAATCTTTTCAAAAGACAGGTAGCATGTTTGGAGTTGCAATGCCTTACTTCATTGCTTGTAAGGGATATCAGGTTTGCTCTGCATGGGCTGATAAATTGCCCTGTGGCTGCGCAGTTGCTTCCTGGCCCATTTTGGGATTGCAGAGCTCCTCCAAGAGGTGGCACGTGAGGGAAGGTGGTTTTCTGCCAGAACCTCTCCTCTGGCTTGTGTGAGGTTTGCTCAGTTTTGAAGGGTCCTTGGGTCAAGAGAAGAGGGAAGCATTAGGCTGGATCAGGCTACAAGCCAGATGAATTTTCCTTGTGGACTTGGTATGGCTCTCAGGTGGTAGGTTAGTTGTCCTACTCTGTGTAGCAGCTATTTCTGCTGTTACTTAGTAGCTGAAATGGCTGTTACTGCAGCCTGCAAACCGCTTCAGCTCTGTCTTCACAGGCCAGTGTTTGTCAATGACAACAGAAATGTCTCGCTCGCTGGGAGGTACTGAAATCATAGAATCATTTAGGTTGGAAAAGACCTCCAAGATCATCGAGTCCAACTGTAAACCTAACGCTGCCAAGTCCACCACTAAACCATGTCCCTAAGCACCACATCTACACGTCTTTTCAATACCCCCAGGGATGGTGACTCAAAAACTTCCCTGGGCAGCCTCTTCCAATGCTTCACAACCCTTTCGGTGAAGAAATTTTTCCTTATATCCAATCTAAACCTCCCCTGGCACAACTTGAGGCCATTTCCTCTCGTCCTATCGCTTGTTACTTGGGAGAAGAGACCGACACCCACCTCGCTACAACCTCCTTTCAGGTGGTTGTAGAGAGCAATGAGGTCTCCCCTCAGCCTCCTTTTCTCCAGGCTAAACAACCCCAGTTCCTTCAGCTGCTCCTCATCAGTCTTGTTCTCCAGACCCCTCACCAGCCTCGTTGCCCTTCTCTGGACCTGCTCCAGCACCTCAACATCCTTCTTGTAGTGAGGGGCCCAAAACTGAACACAGTATTTGAGGTGCGGCCTCACCAGGGCCGAGTACAGGGGCACGATCACTTCCCTACTCCTGCTGGCCACGCTATTTCTGATACAGGCCAGGATGCCATTGGCCTTCTTGGCCGCCTGGGCACACTGCCGGCTCATGTTCAGCCGGCTGGCAACCAGCACCCCCAGGTCCTTTTCCGACAGGCAGCTTTCCAGCCACTCTTCCCCAAGTCTGTAGCGCTGCGTGGGGTTGTTGTGGTGGAAGTGCAGGACCCGGCACTTGGCCTTGTTGAATCTCATCCAGCTGGCCTCGGCCCATCGATCCAGCCTGTCCAGGTTCCTCTGCAGAGCCTTCCTACCCTCGAGCAGATCAACACTCCCGCCCAACTTGGTGTCGTCTGCAAACTTACTGAGGGTGCACTCGATCCCCTCATCCAGATCACTGATAAAGATATTGAACAAGACCAGCCCCAAAACTGAGCCCTGGGGAACCCCGCTCGTGACCAGCCGCCAGCTGGATTTAACGCCATTCACCACCACTCTTTGGGCCCGGCCAGTTTTTTACCCAGCAAAGAGTGGGTAAAGTCCTTGGTCCTAAAGGGCTCTGTGGGGAAGGCTGTCCTTACCAAAGGTACAGATCTTTTAGGCAGGTTGTGACCATGCCTTGGGAGGAAGCCCATTTTAGATCTCTGGCTTTGAATGCCTTTGGCAGTTCCAGCCAGACAAATCAAGATTAAGGTCTTGTGTGTTACAATACCAGTTGTGTTTTACTGCTGCTGTTGTGGGAGGAGAAGGAACAGAACTTCGATTATAGGAATGTTTGGCATAATTTTTTTCTTTTTTTTTTCTTTTTTAATTCCCACAAAATTAGCAAAGTTATTACTTGGTATGTGTATGACCGGAATTGTGTATACCAGTACTTGAAATCAATGTGACAGACACTGTCTGATTTCAGGATTCTTTCCCTAATTAGTTTTTGTTAGTGGTTCAAAAAATGGAAAATTGTATTTGTGTATTTCTTCATTGTGGGAAGAGGGGAGGAAACCAAAGCGGAAAACAAACTGTGTTATATTCCCAGTGGGCAGACTCTCATGGTAGGCTTGAAAAAGTCCAACATGTGGTATGCTCAGCTGCTATTTTAGAAGCATCCACTGTATTTGTGGCTGCAAATTTTTCTTGTGTGTTAGTACTGAAAGAGAGAACATAAATATGAGTTAAGTTGCCATAAACGTGTGTATGTGTACGCACGGGATGTGTGTAACAGATAAGTGACTTGTTCTGTCCTTCACAGTTGTGCCTCTTTTCTCAGCCATCTGTGAGTGCACATGGCTGTTTACCACCATGGGCACCTCTATTTTCCAGGAAACTGAAGAGCGTCCAGTGTTCTCCAGCAGCTAGTCGAGAGTGGTGTCCTCTCCTGCAGAGACTGGAGTGGCCCAGTGCTGTGTGTTTAAAGGCATGTGATATTCCTGAAAGTGGCAGTGTGTGCGGTTCTGTGCAGAAAGAGTGGGTTTTTCCTAGCTAGTGATCTCTGGACACTTTGCTGAGGAACTTAGAAGTTTAGTTTCCTACTCTATACGTTCTCTTAAAAGTTCTTCCATTTACTTAGCTGAAGCATCTGGAGTTGGAAGGGAGGTGTTGTACCTGCTGACAGTGTGTGCTGCTTCTCACTTTATTTTTTATCTCCGTGGTTACTCAGACTTGCAAGGTACTCCTCAAAGGCTTGTCTTTCTGGGAAAGTTGGTCCAGATTTACTTTTCAAGCAAGCTAGTTAAACCCACTAAATCCTATGTAGCTGTTTCCGCTGCAAGTTTAAATGACCTTAATTTGATTTAGTTAGTCATTTCTGGAATGCTTGAGAATATTTCCATATAGAAATATAATGTGTTTTAGCAAATCTGTTTTAAATTTACACTGTTTGTTAGGTTTTTTTCCCTCTGCTGAGTGTCCCTGTGTAGATGATCCTCCCATGTTATATAGCTGCAGTAGTGTGTGTGCGCAAGAGGTGACGTAAAATGTCACTGAATTCTCAAAATTTGAGTACTTGGAGTGGGCAGATATGAGTGGTATTTGATGATGCAAGCTCATATCTTTGTCTTGCTGAAACGGCTAAATTAGTATCATTAGCTCCTACTTGCTGGTTCTTCAGCACTAGCTGCAAGTAATATTTCTTCCCTTAAACAGAAGGTTTTATTGTCTAATGATTTCGTTATCTCTATATTACTGAAGCTATTAAGAATACAATGGTGTTTTTTCCTCAACTCTCCCCTTTTACAGATGATGAACTGAAGCCAAATACAGTCCAATACGAATGTGTGTGTGAAGGCATGTCCTGTGGGAATGGAGATCGTTGCCAAGGCCAGCAATGTTTTGCTTCCCTGAGCATTAATGATGGTGCTAAGGTTTACCAGAAAGGCTGCTTCCAAGTCTACGAACAAGGGAAAATGACGTGCAAAACACCTCCGTCTCCTGACCAAGCTGTTGAGTGCTGCCAAGGACACCTGTGCAACATGAATATCACTGCACAGTTGCCTTCTTCTAAAGGTGAGAGGTTAATTAATAAATAGTGAATTTTAAGAAAGAAAAAAGGTTTGGCTTTCATTTGATGTGATGGGGGTGAGACGGTTTCAGTGCTAGCGAAAGTAAGGGCTTAATCAACACAGTAAAGCCCTTTCTATTTTGTTCCCCACCCTGGGGCCCACTGGCACACATCTGATGTCCACAGGTTGAATGATCTGTATTGCTGGATGAATGACGGGTTAAAGCGCGCAGTCAGGGTCAGGATTGAGTTACTGCCTGTGAGTGAATTGCACAGGCACAGGTGGGGCTTGTTCTGACAGCTCTGCAGGGAGTTGCTGTGGTAGCATCCTTTGTGTAAGTGCATACCCATAGCTCTGGCTGTGTCACGGCCTCTCTGGGACTAGGTGGCTACCAAGTTAAATGTTGGTGTCAGTGCTACTGGTTTTAAAGACTTTCTCTGGGAATTTGCAAATTTATTTTTTTCTTTGTTTTTTTTCCTCCCCTCTCCTTTCCAAGGGCAAACCTTTCAAGGAGAAGCTGCAGGTTACAGCATGGAAACACTAATCATTGTTATACTGGCTCCTGTGATAGTGTTGATAGTTTTTTCTGCAGTAGCTGTGCTGATCATCCGGAGAATACAGAAAAACCATATGGAGAGGCTCAATTCTAGAGATGCAGAATATGGTACAATTGAGGGACTCATTGCATCAAATGTTGGAGACAGCACGTTGGCAGTAAGTAACCTGTGTGCATGGTGAAAATATGTGTGAGCTTTCTTCACTTCCAAACTCCCCTCTCGTACCCTCCAGACATGGCCACATCAATAACAGGACCTTTTGCTGCCAGGGGATGCCACTTAGCATCAGGACTTCTGTGGTGACATTCCTACGCTTGCAAAGCCGTAGTTTAAATGAAATTTAACCAAAAGATGGCTTTTGCAAGTATAGCTCCTTTGACCTGGAGAATGGCTATAAACTGTAGTCAAACTGTTCATGTTCCTAGAAGCAATGTCTAAACAGCAAAACAGAGTATGCCTGATTGTTGGGTAGCCTGAAGTGATATGAAAGGTGTAAAAAAAGTACTGCATCTTTGATATATGAAAGACAGCCTGAAAAGTTTGAGAAGATGTGATGCTAGGGGGAGAAGAAAATACAGATATTTGTAACTTTCAAAAACTTCAAACCTGACTCCCATGATCTTAGTAGAAGGGCTCTTGGACGGCTAGGAAATTAGTGAAATTTTGTTGACAGAAGAGCAGTAGGAATTTTAAGAAATGAGAACTGCTTACTCAAAATTCAGTTTTTAAAATACGTTCTTGTTCATGCAGTCTCTGGAAAATAAAATGACATGGGGAAGTGTTTCCTTTTTAAAGACTTAATGTATCTTACCATTTCACTTGAGGCCAGAAAAAAAGTGTTCCCAGCATCTTTCCCATGCTTTATCGAAACTGAGCAAGTAGGGCTTCAGAGGCAGCTTGAGTGTTTGTTTCTGAAACCAATGCAAAGCGGAAAAGTTTTCTCCTCCTTGCATTTCTAAGATAAAATCTCTTCAACATTAAGAGGTTGGAAAACATTTTCCATTTTGGTGCTTTCCTGCCATAATACGCTTTCACTGCAGGGTTGAAAAGTGGCTAAAGAAAAATGGTCCAAAACACAAATATTTTTAATAATATGCTACTAAATACATTGACCGGGTATTTTCTTTCTGTGTTTCAGACTGTGTTTCTCTCTGTACGACAGAGAAACTGAAATGCGTATTTCTTTAAGTGAGGAATAACCTTCAATATCTTCCTTAGAAAATGTTGGTTACCACCAACTAGGGAAGCAGTTTTGACTATGTCCAAAAAAAATACCCCAGAAAATGGTTGCACCTCCTCACTGAAAGTTGACAACCGCTTTGCAGGCCCAGCTATGGGAATTTATTAAAAGAAAGATCCGTGGGACTGCTCAAAAAATAGAACTGTTTTGAAGAGCTGGAAACTATTTCTTGCATCTCTTTATTTTGAGGCAGAGGTGTTTCTATAAAATACTGCTGTGAATAAGTGCTGGAAGAGTTACGTGGAAAACCCTTTCATTCACAAGACAGTATGATGTGACAAGTAAGCTTTCAGGGCTTGAGATGGCCAATAAGGGATACCATTGGAGCAGGGAAGATTCTTCTTTGAGGAAGAATAGGTTAAAACTGAGTAATCGGACTCCTGGTCATCTGGATGCCCCAATAGGCATTTTTGAAACAGCCTATGTGGGGAATCAGTAAGTAAACCAGTGCTTCAGCCAGGAAGAAGAGCCTGGTTCTCTTAGGGGGCTGGGGGGTATGATGGAGACACAACATGACAAGGAGTAAGGAGAGGATGGATAGAAATCAGTTGTTTGCCTTCTGCAGTACAATAACAGGAGGAGGCATCAAAATTAGCAAATAAGAGCAAGTTTGAAAATAACGAAGGTGGTTCTTAACACAGTGGTAATTGAATCAGTGGAACTCCTTGCCCGACGATTTTTCTAGATGCTACAGGTTTGTATACATTCAAAGAGCAACAGGAATAAAAGACTGTATGGTGTTAAGCACATTTTAAAAAAAAAAAAAAAATCCAGTTAAGGAAGTCCTTGAGCTGAATGTGCTTGGAGGCTGGGAGAGCATTAGAAGAAGGTATCATGTATGTTAAAGTATTCCCATATTTGCTTCTAATTCACTCCACTTCTAGTATCTCAATATTCTAATACCGCAATGCTCCCTATGTACTTCCATGTCTAATACTCCTATATGTCTACTACCCCAATTCACTCCACTTGTAATACCCTAATTAAGGGCATTGCTTTTGGGTACGGTCAGAGACAAGGTACCAATCTAGAGGGACTTTAGGGTGGCCACTCCAATAACAGAGGTTTGGCTTTTAAATGATAGCTTCCTTGGTAAGATGGAGCAATGGAAATTGCCTCCTTCTTAGAGCTTGAAATGTCCAGGCACTTCATGTAACTGCAGGATCAAGTGTGGTGCAAACCGCAGCAGCTTCCTACTACTGCCCTGCTATTTTGCTTCAGCTTGGCCCTATATAAACTATACTTGGTAATTTTTTTTAATGCCTTTGGCTCTCTTTAATTAGCCCATGAGGCTTGATTCTGTGTTACTGTTTTAAAACAGTCAGTCTCGATATGTTCACCATGAACTAGGCATGTGTGCAACTGGTTATCTGTCTTTAAGCACTGACTTCCAGCTTTTGCCAGCTCTTATCTTTTATCAGTGCAAGACCATTTCCATGCCATTTGCAAGCCTTTTGCACTTCAAGTCATTTAATGTTACTTGGAAACGGTGATAAAGCCTGAGAAGAAGAAATCAAAATTCTTTTTATAAGAAATTGGAGAAGTTGCTAACTGTAAAGGCTTGGTCTAATGGAGCTGTTCTGTTTTCAGCTGTCAGACCCTCTTAGCTTTATGATTGCAGTGCCTCTGGTGTGCCTCTTGAGTGTTGGTAATGTAAAATAAAAAAGTGATAGTTCCTTGTTTCTAAATGTTCATCTAAACACTAAGTCTTTTTTAAATTCCAGATTTTTCTTCTCCATTGTGTGTTTTAAATTGCTGGTTTTGTTATACGTTAGCTTACATTTAGTGTCTTTGTAGTGTAGCAAATGCTTAAAGCCCTAAGCTTCCTAATGGGGAATGGAAAGAGCTGCGGCCTCTTCAAATCTTGTTTTTACAGTCGCTGCAGATAAGTTTGGGTTTTTTTTTGCCTCTGATACAAGCAGGAAGGAAAATGAGCTCTCAGTTTGTATTAAAAAGCAAAATAGCAGTCTCCTGTCATTCTTAGATTATCTTTTTCTTGAGCACTCATTAAAAAAATTGTTAGGAGAAATGAAATTTCATCGGATCTGGTTAAAGCCCAGTAGTGCAGTTTGGAAATATTAGAAAGTTGATTATGCTTATGCTTTTTTTTATCCTACTTTCCTTTGTAAAGAAAAAAAAAAAGTCCAGTAATACAGTTGTTAATGCTTTGAACTAGTACGGAAGTCCTAGCCATAAAAGTAGCTGGGTATTAGCATTTTAAAAGGCTCATAGGATTTTAACATTCAATTAGAATCTCACTCGTTTTTTTATAAGCTTACAGTTAAAGTCTGGTTTACATGCACTAAAAATGCCAGAAACTGATAAAAACTTTTAAGAAAGACTTGTTATGGAAAATTTTCTGGAGTATCAATGACGTATCTAGTGTAGGTGATACAGGTAATACTCCTATCACCTTGTTTATTTTAAAGTGTTTTCAGTTATAAGTAACTGTACCAAACTTGAATAGTTTGGGCCAAAACTTCTCATGACTTATCTACCACAGAATGATGACTTTTTTTTTTTTTTTGAGGGACTGTTCATCTGGTGTGGTTCAGCCACTTTAGGGAGGGAGACTTGCAATAAATTATTTGGGTGTTGTCTTTTAAAGAAGTTCTAATTTGGGGCAGGGACTTGACATTTATCAGAGAAATCCCTGTGGTGCCAGACACGCTTGTGGCCATTCTTCTTGGGGCTCTCTGTTTTGAGCCACCTCAAAAGCTTATGGTTTAAAAGATCTATTCATAGACATGTGAGTCTGTTGCCCTGTGGACGCTGTATGGTGCTCCACATGGAGACAGAGCACGTTTCTTCCCTGAGCCAAGGCATCTTTGCAGTGTTTCTGGCCATAGGGCCGAGGTGGAGAAGAGGAGGGTGTGCAGCACTCACGCCTCTTGGGAGCGGGCAGCGGTGGGGGAGGTGGTCACTGACCGTACGGGGCCAAGGGAGTAATGACAGCAAGGGCAGAAATGGGAGCTGGGGTGGGAAATGGGCAAGGTGTGTATGGCAAAGGAGAAAGGGAAGGAAGGTTGGGACTAAGATGGAGAGAGGAGATGAAAATGTAATGGAGGAAAAGGACAGGAAACTGGATGGGGGGCAGAGTGAGGGATGAGCAAAGAGCCTGTACTGGAGAACTGTTAATCCCAAACTATCTCACTTTTCTGTGTAATGTATGTGAAATAAACCCTAACCAAAACATGGATCTCTTCCCTTCTCTTTCCTGCCAAAGGTAACGGGCTTCTGCAGCTAGCAGTTGTTGCCATACTGCAGAGGATGTATCTACAAATCTTGATCTGGCAGATTACCTGCATAACAGCAAAGTATTGCATGATTTGGTTTCTCTTCACTGTCACTAAATTAATTTTTAGCACTTATTTTTGGGATTTGATTGCTAAAACAGAGGTGTCTGGTGACATTAAGGTGCTGTGTGGTTTTTAGGGCATCTGTGTGAGTCTGACAGGTGTGGTACAGGACATATTGGATACCTGTTCTTCTCTGGAATGTTGTCTGCAGGTCAGTGAGAGAGACTGGGACATCCCAAATAGCACTGGGTGTCGTTAATCAGCAGTTTGCTAGTGGATCCCACTGTGTCAAAAGTAGAGTGGGGCACACGGGAGCAAAGCAGTGAAGATTGCTGCAGCAGCCTTCCTCCTGCTCTGTTACAGCTGAAGCCTTGCTTTGCAGGGGCACAGAGTTTCATAAATTCATGCTCAGACTCAAAAGTGGGGAGGATGGTGCACAGGCAATGGGGGGGCCTGGGCTGCTGTGCAAACCCACCTGCTGGTTCAGCCTTTCCCAGAAGGGTTCGGTTTTGGGGTGCTCGCCTGCTCCTCTTGCTGGAGCATGCTTCGCAGGGGGGGCTTGGTGGGAGGGCGGAGCAGCGAAGCAAGGCTCCAGCCCCGGTGAAGTCAGTGGCCTTAAATGTGTGATTAAAAGTTGGAGGAAAATATTTGACAAGCCAGTGATGCTTTTTCCTTACTGACAGATCACACTGCTACGGCTGCAAACGGCACAACTCGCTGGTGCAGGACGGCATGGGTGTCCTAGGCGGCCGTGCCGTCAGGCTGTGTGGTGGCTGGCGGGGCAGGTGCTTGTGCTGGTGGGCAGCGGTGTCAGCAGCTGGCTTGTACCCACGGGTGGGTGCCTCTCCAGTCCGGGTGCCTCTGAGGCATCCCTGGCAGTGAGCCCTGTGCCGTGAGGTGTGGGCTTGCAGCCTCTCCACTCAGCTCACATGGACCCAAAAGACACCTGTCTGTAGGTTTTTTTCAGCAAAACTGACTCCCCTCCCCATATTACTTTAGACAAAATGGTCAGCTGAGCACGAATTGTGTGCAGGCCGCTGATTAAAAAGGTGTTGAAAAGCAAGTTGTATCACAGGAATGTGTTGGCTTTATCTGTCTTAGCATTTCAATTAGAAACTGTCAGCTGTGGCTGTTTCTAGAGTCTGTTTATATTAATAAAAAAAAGTTCAAGGTTCTGAATGTCTCTTTCTATGAATAAACATGCATTAGGGAATTGTAAAATAGATTTTGAGCGTATCTGATACCACAGATTGGTGGGGCTGGGACATGACCTTAGCTCTAGTTAGTGAAAACACATTTCTGTTGCTGTGCCCTTCTAGTCATCTTTACTAGGAAGAAACCACAGGTAACTGGAAGAGTGGGAAAAGGCTCTGTGACCGTTCAAAAGTAAATGCTATTTTTCTTTTTGCTAACTGTATAGGGATGAAGGCCTTGGGTATAGGAGAAATCAGAGAAAGTAAGTTTACTTCTTATTGAGGTGGCTCAAATTATTGCAAGACATAGAAAATTTTTTGGGGAAAAAAGTTGATATTAACCTTTTTGGAATAGGTGACAGATACAGAATTGAGAGAGCATAAGCTAAGTAAGAGAACAACAAAGTGCTGAAAAAGGGTGGAATTTCACTACAGCGGATAGCTCGTCAGCTATGAGTGAGCTTCCAGGTTCACAAGCAGTAAATTTATTGTCACGTATTAAACAAAATGATTTATTTATTAAACAAATATTTAAATGCCAAATAAAAGATGGAGACAGAATAAGAAATCTGAGAATGAAACAATGCTTGATTTATTTGCTGTTTGTTGTGTGTAAAACTTCCAACAGAAAGTGATTGCACGTAAGTTATGGCTCCCCTACCAGTCTCTTGTATGTGTGGGATGTTCTTTGAAGTGGTAAATCTTGCAAAGAGCATTCTCTGTCCATCTGTACGGTGATGGCAACAGTATGTCTTGATCAAATGGCGTCACTGAGCCATTGAGATACCAATGAGCTTTGACTTAACCTACCTTGTGAAGTGGTGTACCGTTGTGTATTTAAATGGGGGAGAAAAATGTAGTTTCTCATAGGTTATAAACTTCTGCTTTTCCTTTTGAACAGGATTTATTGGATCATTCCTGCACATCTGGAAGTGGTTCTGGACTTCCTTTCTTGGTGCAAAGAACGGTGGCTCGCCAGATCACACTTGTAGAGTGTGTAGGTTAGTATAAATCTTGTTCACATATAGTGCCAAGTCTTGGTAACAAATGCAGAGAGAAAGCTTTATCTCCCATCCTAATTATCTGTTTTTCCTCAGTTGCTTATATAATATATGAAACTTTTCAGGCTTCAGCTTACAGAACATATTTAGTTTTGGAAAGTGAAGTGAAAAAATTCCTTTCAGATCTATGCAGAAGAGGGGGGCAAATATTATCTGTACTTTATGATTAAAAAAATGTAAGCTTAAGTAGGGTGGTTAGAAAATACCCAAACAAGCCTAGTTTGTACTTTGTAAGCGAAATAAACTATGTTTTTAGAAAAGCAAGCTCAATTTGATGTTTGAAACTGTCAAACTGTGAAACAAAATTTGTTCATTAAACGGTGTTCAATTAGAAAGCTTTAGAATTAGAAAAGGATCATCTGGATTTGAGATCTGGAGTTGAAGCATCAATCAAAGTGGCTAAAGTGGCATTTAAAAAAAAAAAAAGTGTGATTCTGTGCCATTAGAATGGTAACACGAATGGTTTGTAGCTTACTTGCTCTGCACTGCTGCTTTGGGACTGTGCAGTCAATGATATACTCTTGCTGTTCTTTTGCCCGTAAAAGAGAGAATCTCTCTAGTAATTCTTCCCTAAAACTCTTCTAGGTCTTTAGTCTTTTTTTCAGGACTTTAGTGTTAATTTTAAGGATCCATTAAATTTTTCTTCAGCATATATATATATTATTAATTGAATAGTGTTAAATTTTAATTTAGTAATTTTAGGAAGCATTTAGGTCAAAGTTATCCTGAGGCAGAGGCATTGAGCTAAGATGCCATACTGGCATTAAAGAGGTGAGGAAGGCATGATAATGATTGATTTTCTTAGAGGAAAAAAAAGACTGTTTTAAATATGTTTTATGCTGCTGCTTCAGTGATTTGAACTCAGAACGGGTTAACACCTTTCTGTAAGTAATGAAGTTTTAACTCATCAGGGTGTTAAATCAAGCCCCAGACTAAAACAGACGAATCTATAGGGACTGGGCCTACATTTTACTAGTGTTTCTTTGCTTCTGGCTTATAGTATGTATTGAGTAGGCACAAATGTTCACACTTGCATTAAATCCGAGTGTACATCCTCTGATGCTCTGCAATTTCTATTCATCAGAAACTATAGAATATGATATGCATGATGATTTTGCCTGCAATATAGACATATCTTTTTGTGCGTGTATATACGTGTAAGTGTGTCTCTGGAATTATGCCTGCTCCCAAGCTAACTCAGGCTGGCACTATTTCCAGAGACCATGTGTTTTAGCCTGTGTAGCAGAACCAGATGAAAGTGCTTGTGGAGGAAGTCTCTTCTGGGTGACAGCATTGAGGCATCAGTGTTGGGTATCTCTCTTCATTTGGTTATACCTGCTGCTGATTCATATGTGCCTCTAAAGAACACTGTACGGCAGAGCAATGAAGGGCGGAATTTGGATATTTATAGTTGTCAAATCTAGCACAATTCATTGCACGAAGCCTGAGGCTGTCGTATTCAGGCCGCAGTGAAAAGGGCAATGATCAGAACCTTTCCAGTGTGCCTTGTCCATAATGTTGCTTTGCTGTTGGGCACTTGATAATTTCATACATTCTTCTAAGCTATTTAGATGAAAAGCTTGGTATGCAGACAGTGTTCCACAGGACAGGGGTGCATGGTTTGGGTTTTGGGTTTTTTGTGGGTTTTTCTTTATTCTTTTTTGTTTGTGGGTGGGTTTTTTGTGTGGGGTTTTTTTTTGGTGTTTTTTTGTTTGTTTGTTTTTTTAAATTGTCATTCTGCATTTTGTGTGTCTGGCTGTGCTGATTGTTTTTGCAAGGGTTGATGATGTGATAGAACTATAAGGGCTGCATCCCCAGCATTATATATCCTTCCTGTCCTCCTAACTTCAGAATTCATAGATTTATTTGTATTGTGTACACTGACCTTGTAGTATGTTGCCCGAGTTGCTTAAGCTGCAAAAGTGCTTTCATTGCTGGTAGTTGAATAATTACACCTGCCCAGTACAAGCACTCTGTATACTGTACCAAAATGCAAGGAGGAGAGATCCATACTCTCAGAGATTGCAGTTGAAACAAACAGGAAAAATTAAGGGACAGTGGAGCACAGCGTGACTGTAAAAGTGGTAAAAAGTGTATGCAGGTGTGATCAGACTACATCAGTGTGATATTTGGGCCATAACTGTTGAGTTTCCATCCTATTAGCTAATCCTGTCCTTCTGCCCTGTGAAGATTGTTAGTTAACAACTTTTACTGTGTGTTTTCCCCCACCAGGAAAGGGCCGTTATGGAGAAGTTTGGAGGGGTCAGTGGCAAGGAGAAAATGTTGCTGTGAAGATCTTCTCTTCTAGGGATGAAAAATCCTGGTTCAGGGAAACTGAATTGTACAACACTGTATTGCTGCGGCATGAAAATATTTTAGGTAAGTAGAACAACCATGTTCATGTTTCCTAGTGTAGCTGGCATAAAGGTGAGTTAACTGATCAGTTCACTTGCAAAGCACTGCAGATTTGCTGGGTATCTTGCAATCACTGAGATTAGGCTCTTGTGTTTGTGATAAATAGTTGAAGGGAAGTTTTAAGGGGGAGACTTGCAGGAGGGTGCTGAAGTCTGAGTCTCAACTGGAGAAAGTGTTGTAGCAACCATGAGTCATTGTCCTCCTGCAGAAATATTCTAGCAAGAAACAGTCAACCAGATTAATCAATTGTTGGCAGCACAGTGTGTAGGGAAGAATGGAGGTGCCACAGACCCGCATGCTAAGAATTCAGCCTTGCAGCTCATGTTGCAGGGCAGCCAAATGGCAAAAGAGTATTGTGCAATGTGTTAGGTGAAGAAGTTCTAGTGGATCTAGGTTTTTTTTATAACTTCAGTTTATCTGGGAGAAATAAAGGGAAAAAAAGTGGGGAGGAGTTTATAATGAGATTTAAATATTTGAATACTTTTCCTTGTGCCTGAATAAACTGCAGTATGAATCTATTATTTTCTTCTGTCTAACTATTCTGCTTAGGGTCAAACTAAGCTCCTTTGGTGTTTAAACTTCAACTACAGTTGCCCCTTTATGATGTGTCTCATTTCCTTGTAAATATGAAAGTACAATGATTTTGAATCTTCTGCATCCCTTGTACCTTGTGTGCTCAGTTCTGAGAGCTTAGAAAATGGCTTTTTTGTGTTGTGAGCCATGGCTGAAGTTTAAGCAGTCCTTTTGATTCCTAACAGACATGACCTTCCTTCACTGGTGTGCCACCTTTATAAATAAAAGCAGCAGCATGTTTTCTGTGTGCTGACATTACATCACCCACAATCTGTCTGTCTTCAATTAGTTTTACTTGGGCTCCTTATTCTTGTTTCCTGTCAGAGAATATTCCTTGCTATAGCTCACCCTGCTTGACGTTTGTCTAATGTTTCCTGAAGCAGTTTGTTTGTTACTACAAAAAGAATTTGGGGGCCTCCTGAAATGTGAATTATCGAACTTTCCTTCCCGAGAGAGCAAGTAACTTGGCTGAAATTACATTACACATTTCCCATGTTCCTCTGTCTGTGTTTAGTCTTTCTTGATAACTGTCAAATTTGTTGGCTATTTTATAGAATTTTTTTTTAGATGCAATATTAAACAATATCACAGATTACAAAAGTGTCACATTGTGCAGAAATCTGACTCCAGGAGAGAAAGTAGTGGGTGTTCTTTCTGACAAATGTCGTATGTGGGCTTCTAATAAACATGATTTGTTCCTCTAACTTAGGAATAAAACTTTTGTTGCTTCCCAGCTAAAGCTGTTGAGGTCAACAGTGTGCTGATACACAATAAATTCAGAGGTAACAGGAAGGGAGCTACTCCTGAATTTTGGGTTCAGTTTTAAGACACCACATTTTTGAAAGCCGTTCTTGAGGTTCATGAATTTCGAAGAGAAATTTTTCTCTGTTCCTTTGTGGAAAATCATTGTGAAATACAGCTATGATGCATAAAGGTGCTCTGCCTTACTTCACCATGGAAGTAAGTTGCACACCAGTTGAACTGTCTAGCATTTAAAGTAGAAGAATTACTATGCTTTGTTTTCTGGTATGCCAATCTTCTGGTGCTGCCACACTCTCCTTAGCCATCTGCCACTTTTTATATCCCGTGACTCTGTTGTGAGCTGGTGTACAGTTAAGGAGATCAGGCATTTGGAGCCTATAGCAGTTCAGAGCAGTCCTATAGCTCTGATAAATTACCAGGCTGCAGCAATCCGTCTGCAGCCTTTTAAGCAATCGGAGATCATTGGAGAGCAAGTTGTTGCTGTGGTGAGGTGTGCTTTTTTCAGTCTATATTTGGTCAGAAGGGTGTGACGTTTCAGAAGGGGACAGCAAGCTTTTCACATGTCAAGGCTGATTGTTGAAGTGCTCCAAATAGACTTACCTTGGATGTAAATGTGAAGCTGGCACAACATACTGTGTCTGTTTGTCGGGATGTGATACGTATGTGAAACATGTTTAACCGTTTTCTCAGCAGCCTGCGCTGCCTGCTTGTTGTCCTTAAAAATGGAAATGATTACTTATGACTTGCCTATTTGAGGTATTGCTTCTCTCCAGTGTAATCCTGTTGAGCGGACAGCAGCAGATGTGCTACAACCTGGTGGTCTTTTTGTTTAACTGGAAAATTCCTCACCACTAAGTCCAATTTTTTTTAAGTATGTGGTCCTAATAAGTGGTTGTGTTTTGGTGTGACTGACAAAATACATAAATACATTCTTGTGAACAGACTTGAGTTAAAGTTCCAGAATATGTCAGCTCTTTTTTCATCATGGTAATATCTGCAGTCTGTTTACAGTGCAGTACAATAGTGGAAAAGTTTTAATTAAACAGAGTTTTAAATTGTAAGAGGGGCCTAGTAGTATTGATTCTTTTCTTGGGGGAGTCTTGAAGGAGCTCTGTCATTTTATTTTGTTGTTTCTCCTTTTTTCTTCCTCTCTTTCTAGGTTTTATTGCATCTGATATGACTTCCAGAAACTCTAGTACCCAGTTGTGGTTAATTACCCACTACCATGAAATGGGGTCTCTGTATGACTATCTACAGCTCACTACCTTGGACACTGTCAGCTGCCTACGCATAGTACTGTCTATAGCTAGTGGTCTTGCACATTTGCACATAGAGATATTTGGAACCCAGGGGAAGCCTGCCATTTCTCATCGGGACTTGAAGAGCAAAAATATCCTCGTTAAGAAAAATGGACAGTGCTGCATAGCGGATTTAGGTGAGTTCATTTTGATGCTAATATACTCAGTGCATTCCTGCAGAAATAAAATATACTGGATAACTGCAACTGTAAAAGTCTTAAAGTAACCTTAAAATAACCTTACCATGATCTGATATTACCCTGAAGGTTTACAGCAGCCACTAGATGGCACTTACAACTTAAAAATGCCACTCTGCTGCTGAGGTGGCCCAGCGCAGCCTCTGAGTTCAGGAGCAGATCTAACATTTTAGACTTTCTCTTGGGTTTTCGTTGTTAAATTCCATTCATGGATCCCAGAAGGCAGCAGTTATTAGGCTTCAGCTCATTTCTGAACTAATAAATGTCCTTCCACTTACAGTCTAAGTACTATGTGCTCACTGTCCCAAGCTCCGTAGGTCCATCCAGCTTGAGTCTTTTGCCAACTAATTCAGTGAGCCCAAAATTGGGTTCTCCGTGACCAGGTGGTTTTAGACTTTAAGCTGGTAGGGTGCTGAGAAACAGTTGCAGCAGTATGGCTTGTTCACACCTTGGGGGTATGTCTGACAATATTTTTTTTTTCTTTTCTCTGAAGACAAGGGAGAAAATAGTGGTAGAACAATAGTATTGGGGAGTCATTGGCTAGACAAAAAGTGTATTGGTAGATGGGATTTTTTTCAATAGTAATCCCACTGCATAGTTCCTATCACTTTTGCCTGAGGGACATGAGATACACACAGGGAAAACATGAAAGCCACACACCTGGGCCTATCTAAATTTGCAGAGGGAATAGTAAGTAAAAAATGGAGCAGTAAGTTGAAAATACAAAACTTCAGAGATCGGCTTTTAAATAAATTTGTAGTTCACACTGAGAAGGGGGCAGCACATACTGGCATTAACATCACACTAATAAAGTAAAATCTACTACACTGTTTAGCTAGAGGCTTCAGATATTTGAGAGATTTTCTGAGAGAGTACAGCAATGAACATTTACCAGTTAGTTTTTATGGTGGTAAAATAGCTGTTTTTTTAAACGTGAAATCTTCAGGCATATATCTGACGTGCTCTTTGTTTGTTTCTTATCTGTAAAAGAGAGTTACCAAAGAGTTTGTTGCTTCTGCTATATATTCATGCCCTTTTATTCTGTATAGCTTTGTCTTTTTTTTCCTCCTCTGGTCTCCTCCTCTGTTTCAACACATGCACCATACAAGAAAAATGGCACTTAGAGGCTGGTAAGTATGAGCAGATGGAAAGATTCACTACAGCTGCCCAGAGCTAAGCTGGACTTGGGTTCTGTCGGTTACACCAGGTTCTGGACTTGCAATGTACCCATTAAGAATAGGTGTCAGCTCTAAAAACAAAAAGGAATAAAATGCCTTTGATGCGTATCTTGTATGTTTTGCCGGCAGCCTGGGTGCTGCACACCTGAACTGCAGTGTAGCTTAGTGTTTGCCATTCAGTGCTAGTCCTTTTGGCTGGCACAAGTGCAAAAGCTTTGTGAATTGGCTGCTTGTCCTTCAGCAAGCATGCTGCAAACTAGTATCTCAAACAGCAACCCAAGTATCCAGAGTTGCAGTTACAAAACTGGCTGTTTCAAATATGTTCTAGCTAAGCAGAAACTGTGTGATAAAGTCCAAGGATGGATGTCGATCTCGCTTCAGTGTGTCAGCACTGTGGAAAAGTTCTGCCTTTCTAAAGCAATTCACGTGCATGGTAATAGGTCTCAGTTGAGCAACTTTATAGAACAGCAGGATAATGCTTATACAAAAAGAAGAAAAAGCCCAACCCTCCTCTTACTCTCTCCTTCCCCTTGCCCGTCCATATAGAGTAGCGAATGTCCATTTGAAACAAACACTAGTATTTGTAAGGAAGGTGCAAAGAATGCTAACAAAACATATTTGGTCAATTTTTGTTTCTGGCAGATACTCCAGTATACTAAAGAGGATTTGTTGGTGTCTAGAAAACCATTGTGTTTCATCAATTTGTATTCCTGTCAAGCTTTTTTTTTTTAAGAATTAGTGTCTTACAGTAAGAGCTTCTCCGACAAGCACTTACGCGCCCTTAAGTTAGTGTGCACTGAGATCTCCTGAGGTGAAAAGAAACTGAAGCAGTGCAGTATCTGCTTCCTAACTCATAAACAGCACAGATGCTACCATGATGAGAACCTGATTACAACATTGTTGTCCCCTGACCTTATTGCAACATGTTCTTAGTTTGTAGTGTGCGGGATGCTGACTTGCATCCCTCAGTCTTAAACCTTTGACCTGTTAATCTATTGAATCTGTTTTGCCCAATTTGGATGGAGTATTACGATTTCTATCAAAGTGTTCTCCAAAGTCTTGACAGCTTCAGAGTTTGCCAGGAAATTTGTTTTCTAACCTTTGTTTCCAGTGTGCAAGTTTTTTTAAATATTATAATCCATACATACTGTATAATATAAATTAATATAAATATAAATGAATACATAAATATGTAAGTGTGTGTGTAAGTATGTCCTTTGTGTGTGTATATATGTATATATATGTATATATGACAAAAAATATTTTTATCTGGAGAGCAGGCTTTCCAGATTATCTTCTCAGCTGTCATGGGGTTAGTAGATGGTATCTTTCTAGAGGTGCCATAAGCATTGTCTTAGCAGCGGGAAATTACTTGAAGTGCATTTAAACTGTAGGAAAGTGTTTTCCAAATTTTTGTTACGGTGAAGTACAGGCTGGTTTTTTGGAAGGAAAAAAAAAAATAATGATCTGGTGATAGGTTAATTTTTTGTGGGACTGAGCTTTTTAAGTTTCATCTAAAGTAAACTCATGTTAAATGTAAATAGTATATGTTATTCTTACAAGAGTTGTTGAGGAAATTAGGGAGAGTTTGTGTGGTCTTTTCTATTGCTTAGTTATGTCATGCACCTGTTGCTGTTCAATTTGCAGTGCTCTCTGTTTACCATGGCAAAATGAGTACTCTGTGTGTTTCCAAATTTACAGTAATTTAGTCCCTCACATAATGTTCTTTGCTTAAATGTTTAGTAATTAGTAGAAACCAGGTAGAGTGGTTTTGACTGACTCATTTTAGATCAGCTTGAGGATGTTTATTTTTCAAGCTACTGCAAATATGGTGTTTTTTATTTTCCAGCTTTATTTTTTAACTTGTGTGTATCCATCATGCAGTGTTTTTCTTCTCTCTTCCCCACAGTTTGGATATATCCACCTACCCAAAAGTTCTATAAATAAATTTGAATGCTGTGTAAAATTGTTTTCTTCTAAGTAACAGATGCTTGGCCTTCTGTGTATACGTGCCTAGAGCGCTGGTGACATCCAGTGGCTGCAAAACACTGAATGACAGCATTTTGCAACAGTGCAATAACATGCTTAATGGTAATCCCTGAGGAGATAATTGGTCTAAGTCTACGGACACAGTGGCTGGTTTTGATAGCTGGTTTTGAGCTGACCCAGTTGGTCTTTGGACAGCTGGACTCTTAGCTCCTTCTTTTTAAGAAACTGTCTGATGGGTGTCACTGCTCACATGTAATTTTAAACGTATGCTGCTATAGTTTTAAAGGGGACTTAACAGTGTTTTTTTTCTTTCTGTCCTTCAGGCCTTGCAGTAATGCACTCCCAAAGCACGAATCAGTTGGATGTGGGGAACAATCCCCGTGTGGGTACCAAACGCTACATGGCTCCAGAAGTCTTGGATGAAACTATACAGGCAGACTGCTTTGACTCTTATAAAAGGGTCGATATCTGGGCTTTTGGGCTGGTCCTTTGGGAAGTAGCTAGACGCATGGTTAGCAACGGTAAGTATTTGGGACTCCTTTACTTGTTTTTAGAAGGGATTAAGCAAATGGTAATTCACAGCAAAGCATCTGCCACCAAAATGCATAGGATGTGCAGTAAAATACTGGACCTCCAAAGTATTTTGATTCCTGACACTTTGCTGCCTGTGTTGAAGTTGTTGGTATGTTGGGTACAATGGCTGAGTATTGTTGTCATTTCTGTTAAGGTAGAGAAGAAAGAGGGTCCCCTGCTTCATCCTAAATTGTGATGAGAAATATTAATACCAAATAGTCAGTTGAGTTAAAATTTTAGATCATAAAGTCTCTAAACTTTTTCCATGTGTCATTAATCCATAGTGAATACTTCTAGGTGGCTGCTTCTTGTGACAAAACCTAAGGAACAGAAGGAAAATATGTAGGAAGTGAAGAAGTGATCAGAATTCAGGGATGCTTTTGCTTTACCAAGTTAAATGCACTCACAAAGCAGGACTTGGTCAAAGTACAGTTCTGCTTGGGAAAGGTGCCACTGTAATCGTGTTTTGTAGTGCACAGTGTTGCTTCATGTTTCCTTGGCATGGGAGTCTGAATTTAAGAATCTTTAAGCTGGGTATCTGTTGGTGTGATTTCTTGTGCTTGTCAATTCAGAAGTCCTCTCTGACTTCTGGACCTCAAGTTGTGCTCTGTGGACCCAAGCTGACAGGTGAACGCAGAAGATGCCCTTCGGGCATGTCTGCAGATACTGGCAGTGATGGATTGTTAACAGCGACATGTTTTAAATCTGAGGAAATTCTGAATCATCATATGTATTTATTTGCTCTGTGTCTGTCCGATCTATTCCCACCAAATCCGAATCTGGGATTCTGTAACTGACATCAGACAACAGGTTTATCTTCTTCAGGAAAAGACGACTAGTCGTTTGTTTGCTGCAGTACCTCTGAGCCTTGATGGTAGGCTGGAACCCCACAGGGCAGGAAGTGCTGGTGCCAGCCAGGGTGCCTGCCAGCTTAGGATCCAAGTATGAACTTGTTGGAAGGAGAGATGGTCAGAACGATAGGCAGTAGTCAGAGTGGCTCAAACTGAAGAATTGAGAGCTTGGGGTTTTTTTGGTTTTTTTTTTTTTTTTGGTTATTTTTTGTGGGAACTATTGCAAGTCAGAGTTTGAAGGAAGACTTTGGAGGAAAGGATTAAGATAGTTTTAGAGATGTTCTCAAAAAGCAGCTGTTGAAGGCCAAAGGAGGGAGTACGAGTGGTTTTGTGGAGAGAGGAGCAGTGAGTGGACAGAGGTAGGCTGTAATAAGGTATGACAGTGAAGGCTTGTGGTAGGTAGTACAGAGTAACAAAGCCTGGCTCAAATTCTAGTGGAAGTTAATGTACTTGCCTCATATTGTTTCTCATGCATTATGTCCCCTCCGTTCCCTGACCCCAGTGGAAATCTGGTCCAAATGGTGTTACACTGGATTACAGGGAGTGGGAGAGAGGACAGGCGAACGTGCAGCAGCTCTAGAAGCAAACAAATATTGTTATTCTATTAAAGTACAGGACTTCTTCTAAATATGAACCTTTTACTTCATCTGTTATCTGTTGGTGGCCAAAATAATTTAACTGTAAGAAAAAAAAAAAGGTATTGCTCCCTTGTTCAGGTAACTCCCAGCACAGCAGCCACAGGTAGCTAGTTATCTCCAGAAACACTGTGGTGAGGCTTGTTTTGAGAAGGCTGCTGGAAGGTGGCACTTTGGAGAAGATTTGCAGACCTTCCAAGCTTGCTGTGAGATTCCCTGGGGCCTGGAGCACTGTCCAAAGCCCCTCGCCTTCTCTATGATACTTACAGGGTGCTTAAAGAAAGTTGACTTGGAGGTAGCAAAATGCATCAGGTAGGCTCAGATGGCTAATTTAAGTCTCCTTGTAAGCCTGAGAGCTTGCTTTGATAGCTCTGAAGAGAACCAAAATGGTCATTTCTCTGTGATCAAGAGAGCAGGGTAATCTGTGCGGGTGGACAGCTATGTTGGTGCAATTTAACTTGCAGGGTCCATAGTGAGCAGCTACTGTCTTGCTGGAAGCCAGTGGCAGTCACAGGACTGACTGCAGGAGCAGAAGGGAACTTCCACAGGCTTTCTGTGAGGTGGCCAGAGCTGAGCTCATGACCTTGCCTTCCTTCTCCCTTCACTGTCAGAGGAGTTACTTGAAGACATATGCAGCAAAAGGAATAGGTATTGTTCTGATAAAAGAACATATGTCAGCTGAATCACAAAGTGTAATGATGATCTCAGGTGAAGGTGTATGTGGTTAATCAGAGAAAGGAGAAGGTCTTGTGAATGCATGGTGTTAATTTTTCTTATGATATACTGTTTATTGGCAAATGTATGTCGTAGGCAGTTATGAAGACTTGCTCATTGCATTTCCCAATATTTGGAGACCTCTGGGTTGCAGTTCACGTCAGTGTGAGCGTCTTGAGAATTTAAGCTGTAACTTTATTGTTTTCAGTGCAGTTTTATATTATGCACTTTGTCTGTCTCAGCAGTCTGTGAGCACTGGAGTTTACCAGTTGCCATAATATGATAGGCTTGCTGGGCAGGGGTTGATTAATTCACTGTGCAATAGGTGATGCTCACTGTGATGGGCAGGGAAGCCAGCGCATGAGAGGAGGCAGTCGGTCTTCCTCCGTGCTGCCTGTGGAGGGACCGTGCTAGTAGCTGTGGGTGGCGGGACCAGCAGTACTTACAGGGGTGTGTGCTTACATGTAGGCACCGCGTAGAGTATTGTCTGTTCGAATATAGCAGTTGGCCTATGTGATGACAAAACTTCACGTGTAAGCTTTTGATAAGTTTGTTTTTATTGCCAGTCTTGAATTTTGAGTAGTTCATCTGGAATCTGTCCTGCCACAGTGCTGTTCTGGAGGCTGGTAATCCTTTGTGGAATATTAGATGTCTTGTTCTCCTTGTATATGAATATATGTTTATACTTATGTGTGTGTATACTGTACATAATACATATAAAAATACACACAGTCTTACCTAGTTACCTCTTGCAATGAAAATTCCACAAAATGGTACTTATTATTTAAATATTCCCATGCTGAAGTTTTGATACATACGTATTGCTGCAGTAACTGCAGTTCACAGACAACTTAGCTGAGCTACTTTGAAACTAGTGAGCTTAGATTGTGCTGGCAGCTTCACCAGGATGGTATGAAACTCAGCATGGACTACAGACCTACCAAAGACGATAGGTAAATGCTTCAGTAATTTGATTCAGGCTGAGCTCAGTGCCACTGTGGAAGCACTTTTCACAGTAATACAGGTACGTCATGACATTGGTCATGTCAATGAAGTCTTAGGTTTAAGATGACGGTGATGCTAATTCCACAGTACTTATTTCCAGTTGCTCAGTATTTCTGGCTGTTGCCGTAAGTAACTACATTTCCTTGCACTTGTTTGAAATGGAGTAAACGTTTTCTCTCAAATCCAAGTGTTTAGCTGTGTGGAAATCATTACTTCATCAGGTGGTCACTGAGATAACCCTGTTTGGTTTGTAGTAAGACTCTGGCACTGGGAGTGAGCATGCTGAGGTCAAGGTAGCATGCTTATGTGAACTGGGTGATGGTGTATCTTAGGTGGGCTAGAGGCACTTGTGTCAGTTAGGTGTGCTAGAAATTTTTGCTGCTGTCCCATGCTGATGGACACTTGTCATCTCTCATTTACTGGGTGGAAATGCAGAGTCTATTCCAGTGAGTCAGCCTGGTTTAGTACTTCAGTTTGTGGAGACTCTGAAGTTGTTGTAATCTGACTAATAAGTCTGATTTTTTTTTTTTAAATTTTATTTTAAAATTTTTTAATGTTTATTTTTACACTTTTAATTTTTTTAAATTTTTTTTTTTTAACTTATCTAATGGTCCTTGAGGTGCCACAGTAATTCTCAGTACTTTTCTCTTGTGGCTTAGTATAAGGAGGAAAATGTAGGAAACTCCTTCGCCACAACCAAGAGTACTTGTGTATTGTCTTTGTGCTGTAGCAGGAGCCACTCAGCATTTCTTTCGTACTTGAAAAATGTGATTTAAGCCCCCAAATCAGTATTTTACTCTCTTTAAATAGACCAGTGCTTGTTCCTTGTAGAGTGGTTGTTCACTGCTTTTGAATGTGCTCCCTTCCTAGTGTACAGTGCCTTGCATCTTTCCTTACCCGGTACCTGGCACTTACAGTTCTGTTCCTTGTGAATCTTCACTGTCGTTCCCAGTGTTGTGATCTTGTTCAATTTTAATAGTAACACCAGAAGCTGAAAGATGGTTACTGCTCAAAGCCACCCCTGGTGTGTGATCATTATCTCTGCAAGGCTGTGTCTGTTGCTTAGGTGTTTGTGTAGATTTTGCTTTGCTCCAACAGTTAGATTCGTGCATGCATAGGACAAGTTGATGTTAAAGTAACGAGGAATAAAGGTGAAGAAAATGCTACTCTGTGTGTGTTCTAGTTGATTTGAGTAGCAAAAAGCCAGCAACCCTAGGGGGAAAAAAAAATACAATATATTGTAAATTACAGAAGTCATCCTAAAACTGTTCAGAAAGCGGCAAGCTATAGGTAGTGCTGAACGACTCTCGGGTCTCCCTCGTAGTGAGCGGCTGGCTCGCTTTCCCGGGACAGTGGGCGAGGGAAGTGTGTCACAGTTCAGTGACCGCTTTGCGAGCAGAGCAGTGTGGGCTAGAGGTTGCAGTGGCTTGCTGGCACCACTGATGGGCTGCTGCGGAGCCGGCAGTGGTCCCATGGGATCTGTGATGTTTGGCTGTGGTAGATCAGAGTACCCTAGAATCACTTTATTGGAGTAAAGGCTAGACCCGCTTCATTTCATATTTATTACTATGTCTTATCTGAAATAGCCAGCTATAGACCCTATACTTTGGAAGGACCACATGAAAATAATAAATTAGAGCCAGACTCTCTCTTTTAGTGATAAAGTTCATCTGTAATATCCTAGTGACCCTGGAAACATTTTCAGATCTATATGATGTAGCTCTGACGTTCTGCATTTGACTCGTATAAAGCCACTACTTTATCTGAAATGGAAGTATAGACAATGTGGATACACAAGAGGTTTTTTGTATTCTTGAGTTCTCACAATAAACTTTATTCTGTGTTCTGGGAGGAAGCAGGAGGAGTGTAAAAACAAGAGTTCGGCCCTGTAGGTGATACTTGGTATATGCAATTATGAATTGCTTGAAGGAGGAGGGTAGGTGATGCTTCTTTACACAGCATGTAATATAGTCTGTCCTTCTGCACCTATGTCAGAATACTATAGGGCAAACCCTGTAGTCTGCTAGTTACTTTATTATGGTAACACGCTTGGGTAGCTAGGTCTTTGAACTGTACGACTGTTTTCTAAGGGAGCTGTAATTTCCTGAAGACCATTTCCCTTTTTGACTAGTCATCACAGATAGGGATTTATAGATTTTTTTTTTTTTTTTTAACAGAGGATCTATGGGATTTTAATCTTCATCTCCAATAGAACAAGAAAACTAAATCCCAACCACTGTAGCAAAGTTTGAGAACCTCTTTTCAACTTCAGTATATCCAAAGCAACAGAAATTCTCCTGGATTTCATGTACGTCTGACTGTGGCACAGCTGCCAGTCTGCTAAAAAGCAGTTTTAAGATTGTTCTGCCCTGTTTCTGTTTCTACTGTACAGAGAGGGGCCTCATTCGCTTGGTGTTTTTCCAAGCTGCTGACCCAAATGCCTGTCTTTGAACACCAGTTTTTAAATTGGCGTCTGAAGAAAGTTGAGCTCCCTATAGATCATTTGTGAGCTTAATCCACTGATGAAACAGCGGTGCTGCATGCATGCCTTAGAGAGTAGGCAAAAGGCTTTTTAGCCTGCCAGTTTTGTGTAAGCTGGGTGACAAGTTGTGAGAGCACATACATAAACTCATTTTTCAATGCAGAATCCTAGAAAATGCATTCAGACACTGGGTGCCACAGGCTCTCAGGTGTTTGGCTTTGTGGTGGCATGTGGTGCCAATTACCCTACGTATTTTACTGTTTTAATAACAAGAAATAAAATTATTTGAAGGACCAGCATGAGGGTCTGTAGATGCTGGCATGCTTATTGGACTCTTTCAGGAATCATAAAACCGTGCAAAGTGTGTGGTAAGTCTATTAAAACCACAATGCAGACCTTACATTTTTTACATTTGCTAGCAGAAATCCCAGTTCCGTGGTAGTCAGTAAACCTCCATGCATTATAAAAGATGTCCTTTTGGCAAGTGAATTTATTTCTCGCCATTTCAGCTCAAGCATCTGCAAAATGGACATAGTTCTTACTTTGTGGAATTGTAATATGAGCCAATTAATTAACATTTTGGGTAGAAAAAGCCGTTCCTATGATATAAGTGCTATTCTGTTGTTTAATGGCTGCTTGACACTGTGGTGTTAACTTTTAAAAGATTTTGTGCTGCTTAGACAGCTAGGTCATCTGTTCTCTCCTTCTGTGCAGAAATCCTGTTTCACTGACACAGTCATTAAATAATGCCTCTCTTTTTGTGTCTCACTAGGTATTGTGGAAGACTATAAACCACCATTTTATGACTTGGTTCCAAATGATCCCAGTTTTGAAGACATGAGAAAAGTGGTCTGTGTAGATCAGCAAAGGCCGAACATTCCCAACAGATGGTTCTCAGACCCTGTAAGTGGGTGTGCCTGCGGGTGGTTTGCAGAAGATATGAGCTGACCTTTCTTCTTTTGAAATAGTCATGAAAGCTATTTTCAATTCTCACTTGAAATTGAAATGATCTCAATGCTACTTGTTAGGAGCATTACCTGTACAGATTTCAGAAGCATGCTAGTGTGGACCTTTATCTTGGAGCAGGAAAAAACGCAATGAGCAAACTTATGACTGTTAAGTCTGAGCTATTCACAGATTAGCCTTTTAGAATCATAGAATCATAGAATCATTGAGGTTGCAAAAGACCTCTAAGATCATCGAGTCCAACCGTCAACCCAACACCACCATGCCCACTAAACCATGTCCCTAAGCGCCTCATCTACTCATCTTTTAAATACCTCCAGGGACGGGGACTCAACCACTTCCCTGGGCAGCCTCTTCCAATGTTTAAACACTCTTTCAGTACAGAAATTTTTCCTCACGTCCAATCTAAACCTCCCCTGGCACAACTTGAGGCCATTTCCTCTCGTCCTATCACTTGTTACTTGGGAGAAGAGACTGACCCCCACCTCGCTACAACCTCCTTTCAGGTAGTTGTAGAGAGCGATGAGGTCTCCCCTCAGCCTCCTTTTCTCCAGGCTGAACAACCCCAGTTCCCTCAGCCGCTCCTCATCAGACTTTTTCTCCAGACCCCTCACCAGCCTCGTTGCCCTTCTCATGCCCTTAGTAGCATGATTTAACAATAACTATTTTAAAGCTGCTTTTCCTGTGTTGTTATTCTCCCTCCAAGGGGAAATTTCTTTAAGGGCAAGGTAGCCTGTGTAGGCCTTTCTGTGGCTTATAAGTATGCAGATTTAGAACAGAATTTTGGTCTCTCTCCTGCCTACAGGATAAGGGACTGGTTTTTTTGAAAGGCTAGTGCTGAAGTTTATTTTTCTTCATCAGAATCAGCCTGCACTCTCCAGGTTGACCAGCTGTTTTTTTCCTTATTACTGAAGCTGTGGAGGTCAGTTTGAATCTGTACGGCTGGCTGGGGCCAGCAAGGACGAGAGGTCCCATCTATAAGCTTTTGATTGTAGAGCCATGACCTGTCCTGCTGCCCCAGCCAGCTGTGAATCCCAGCCATTTAAAGCTGCACTGGATGTGATGAAATCACAGGCAGAAAATCTGTACCTTCTCTGGCTTCCTTCATTGATCTTGCAGGAGTCAGTTTCCTTGAAAAGAGATTCTGTAGAGTGTTTTCTTAATTAGGAAAAAACCAAAACTCCATTGTTTAAAATTACACTAGCTTGTCACTCCAGTCAGCCCATTGTCTAGTTATTCTCTTGGTTTAACCAATTTATCAAACTTGGTGGTTTTTTTTCCAACACGTGAAATCTGTGTATTTGATAGTTAGCAGTAAACTCTGTAGATTCTGAAAATTGAGTATTAATAAGGCAATAAAACCATATTGTATTAGCGCTTAACCCAATCTAGTGTTTTCTTGGCCTGTGATTTGTGTGCTTACATGTGTGTTTTGTTTTTTATTCTTTCCCAGACATTAACATCTCTTGCCAAGTTGATGAAAGAATGCTGGTATCAAAATCCATCAGCAAGACTAACAGCCCTGCGAATCAAAAAGACTTTGACCAAAATTGATAATTCCTTAGACAAACTGAAAGCTGACTGTTGACCTTCTTGCGGTGCTCTCCTGACAGGAAGGCGTTTGTCTGGTTCAGAATTAGTCTGGCCAGACAGTTTATACGATTGGTCCCCATGTGGCTACTTATAGAGGCAGAAGTTCTTACTAAGCCATCTGTTTGGGAGACATCGGAACCATATGGACTTTGCTCAGTGACTACAATGGGCATTTCACAAATGGTCAAGCTATAAGGACTCATGCTGGATGTACTGTTGCAAAGGTAGTGGCCTGAAGGAAGACAGAGAAATCCTAAGACAAGATCAGGGCATTAAATAATGGCTTTGAACAGCTTTTTTCTATTTCTTTTTTTTTTTTTTTTTTTTTTTTTTTAATTCTCCTAATCACTCCCAGGGTGAACACGTGGAAGTGGTAAATTTTAATCAGCAATATTGCCTGTGCTTCTCTTCTTTATTGCACTAGGAATTCTTTGCATTCCTTACTTGCACTGTCACTGTTAATTTTAACGACATGACTTGCCAAAAATATGATTGGCTGTATACTACATTGATCTATGCCTGAATAATAGGAAATGAATTTGGTAAACTGAAATTGTAACTGTCAGATTTTAGCTGCATTTTACATGTGTACTGATGTTTACAATAATGCTGAACATTAGGAATTTCTCGTTTATACAAAACTTGCAAATTATTTATTACTAGTGCACTTGCCAGTTTTTTAAACTGTAAAATAAGTGCATAAAGTTAAAGCTTATTTTTATGTGGCCTCTTTCATGATTTCTTACACAGATGTTTTTGTAGCACAATATAACCTGAAACATAAATTGTTTTCTGTATTATCATATTACAACTCGATAGTCACATTTTAAGTGCTTCACATTTGTAGGTGTGTGGTCTGTAACATATTTTCAGTTCAAATACGGAACATATATATAGCCATTACCCACATAACATTGTGTCTAGTATCTTACTGATCTAGAAAAGGAGAGCAATGGAGGAATTAACTAGAATTTTAGGTCATGAATGCTGTGGGGAAAATGCATTTTATTTCTTCTAAGCTATATAATACGCATTTAAACTCTGCCAGAAAAATAACTATTTTGTTTTAATATACTTTTTCTATTTAGTAGTTATTTGTATAAATTAAATAGAATGTTTTCAAGTCAAACAAAAGAGTGTTTTAGTTCTCTTACTGCCTATTAGTAACAAAGGTATACTAATGCAGCAGTGTGTATCTCCAGTCATATGCTCGCAGGTGAACAGAGCTGGTCCAGGTCAATACGTGGTGGAACACCAAGGTACTGAGGCTGTTAACAGTTGTTTGTTTGGGTGTGTTTTTCCTGTACTGAACTGGATCCCAAAATAGTACAGCAGGGAACTGGTGTACTCTCTTTGGATGTGACATCAGCCATGTCCATGCAAACCTCCTAGAGCATGTCTTGCAGAAGGAGGTATGTTATCCCCTAGCCTTATGGGGAAGAATTCAGCTTTATACCCAGAGAACTTTTTTTCTCTGCCTGTACCTCTTGATACTCTCGTTTGTTACACCAAGTGGAAGAGTAACTAGGAAGTGACAGTGCCCTTTCATCCTTGGAAAAGAACTCCTTTATTCATGGGCCTGAAATCCTCCAGGTAATCTAAGGACCTGGATAGTAATTAGCCATTTGGACATGTTTCCTCTCCAGGTTAAAAAATTTCTCTGAGATTCCCTTCTGTGCTTTAAGTCTGCCAGATTCTGCTCTCCTGTTTCTCTGTAACTTTTCCTTCTCAGCCCCAGTCTTCCTTGTCCTACTCTGGCCAAGTGGCGTGCCTTTCTTCTTCTACATTTCTAGTGTAGAAATAACAGCCAAGTTAGCAGGGTGGGTACTGCATGGGGCTAAGAGACTGCACGGTACAATAGCTCTGCAGAGCAGACTGAATTGGTACCAGTTGCTACGTCTCTTAGTTATACTTGATGAGAATCTGAGCAGATCCAGCGCTGCAGAAAACATGGGAAAAGCGGGATCTGATTAGTTTTTATTGTTAGCTTTTAATAGGAAGTCAAATGCTCAGTTGCCTGAATGCATTCCAGTTTGCTTTAAACTGGCTTGTGTATGTGATGCATGCTGGGCTAACTGTTAAATAACTGCAGCCCAGGAGCGACAGTATTTCAGCAATGACTCGAGTGAATCAGTCTGTTGGACTGAAGATGCTATACGAATGCAAAATGAGTAGCTGTGTTAGCAATAATTTTCTGATATAGAGTATTGCCTGAAGTTCTTTAGTTCTAGGTGCCTGGTGCACACAGACACATACACTGATGATGGAATAGGCATCAGTATTTAAAACAAATGGGAAGTGAGGCAACCTGCTTGCGGAGGTCCCAGGCTGCTGCAGTGCTCAGAGATGAGGACAGCTGGGGATGTCTGGACAGTGGAGGGCGAGAGGGGAGGTAGCTCAACAGATGGACAGGGACAGAGCTAGAGGTGAAAGTTCAGTGTGCAATGAGAGTTTAAAGTGGCTGGTTAGGTTTTTTACTTTGAGTTTTCACGTCTCCAGCATTTTCCAGTACACGTGTTGGAAGAGAGAGACAATCTGTCATGCTGATGATTAATAACAATTCTGGCCATGTTGGCTGAATTTGTGGTGCCCTTCTCAAACACTAACATATTGAGTCACAGCATCTTACTAGATATTAGGGAAGATGGTCATGTTGAATACTTGATCCATCTCTTCTTTGTGCTGTAGCATCTTCTGAAAAGTACTGTGTACGTAGAACAACATGACTCCAGATTGGTAACAGCTCCGTAAACTCTAGCGGTTTACTGTGCTGTCTCTGAAGATCCGAATTTTCTAACTGCAGCATTGGGTATCGGTCTGTTAGCTGTGCTAGGACTAGTTGGGATCCCGCAGGATGTGGGACCTGCAGCAAGGAAGCGCACGGTTCTCCCTCTTCTCTGTAGGGGGTTCTTCCAGGGCTGGGCTCTGGGAACCACTGGCCTCTTCTGAGTTTGGATACAGACTTGACTGAGGAGCTTTAGCATTAATTAAAACTGGAGTCTTGGCTCTCCCTGTCTATAAAGCACGGATAACCAACTAAAGGATAAAAACACAAACCATAAAAACACCCCAGTAATATCCTGTTTATCCTGTGTTAGGTAAAGAAGATTATCCAAGCAAGCTACTGGCAGGGTAGAAAAGTCTGTCCAATGCTAGGACTCTTAGGCACTCATCGATTTGCTAGGCGAGGTCATTTTAATTGGTGCTGCTGCTAGTAGCTTCCTTTTGCCTATCAAAACATCCAGGGATTATTTTAAACAAAATTCACATTCATGCCCTGCTAATGAAGTATTTTTGATCCAGGCTTTGACTGAACTATTTGAAATGTTAACTATTTTTTTTTTTTTAATTAGGTGACTATTTGGCAAACTTGAATCAAGAAAATTGAGTGGAAAATAATTGTAAGAAGTAATTTCTTAGCAATTTCTTATCCCTTGGTTTAGGGATAAGTCATTCGTCACTGTGCTTTTCTAATGTATATAGTTGCTACTGAGGATAGCCAGGGTCCGTGCTTTCAAAAAATAGCAGAAATAGCAGTGTTCTGAACAGTCCTCTTGGGAACTAGATGGTGGTGCACCTGGGAGCAGAGAAGGAAAAACTCAATGATAGCCAGTGAAGGATTATCTGTGGTCTGTTATTTAACCTCATTTTCAAGTGTCTGGACAATCATAGAAGAAAATTTGTTGCTGCTTTTCCCCTCAAGGTGTCCAGGCTTGGGCAGCGTGGGGGAGTTTCCAAGTGATGTATGTGAAGATAACATCCCTGCCTCCTACGCTATTTTTCTAGCATGTTTATTAATCAATGTTCCTCTAGTACCCCCATAAAATCTAATCTTCTAAAGAGATTTGGAATGCTTATATATAATCTGCCCGCATTAAGGGCGTCGCTGCATTTATTACTATGGAGATGGCACAAGCAGTTCCATAGTTGAAGTTGAATTATTCATGTGTCTGGCGGATTTGCACTGTGCTCAGCCAATATGGATCTGGGGTGTTGTCATTTGATCAGTGCCTGGCCATATATCAGAGCCCTAGTAAGAGGAGGCCCTGCATGTAAAAAAAAAAAAAATGATGCATCAGTGTATGAGTAGCACTGATTCAGCTATGCTGTTGATAGGTATGACCACCTGCCAGTTATAGGAGGAAGGCTATAAACAGAGGTACTTTAGATTGAGGGGGGGGGGGGGGGTTGTTGTTTTTTTTTTGGTTTGGGGGGGGGGGGGAGGTTGTTGCTTTTTGTTTGGCTTTGTCTTTTTTCCTATGCAGAAGTTTTTTTTTTTTTTTGGTTTGGGGGGGGGGGGGGAGGTTGTTGCTTTTTGTTTGGCTTTGTCTTTTTTCCTATGCAGAAGTTTTTTTTTTTATTATTGGTTAGGAATATGTTGCACTTTGACAGGTGTCCTGGGGACAGCTGCCTAAAGCAGCCTGTGGCCAGCGATTCACGTTAGTGTTGCTGTAGTGAAGTTACTGAAGGCTTCCTCCCACTTGTCTGTAACTTTCCTTGCGGGCCTTCTGTGCTGGAATTTTCCATGAAAAGTCCATATCTAGCCTTCAGGAATTTTTTTATTTACCTGGATTAAACTATTTTGATAGGGACAAGGAGGAATTGTCTTCCCTGCAGGGCGAAATGTCTGCTGTGCAAAAAGAACAGCCTTGGCATAGTGGTTGGCATCGGAGAAGGGAAACAAAGACATTACAGATGCTGTTCCATTTATACAGAGAGAAGTTAAATCTTTTTCAAACACAGAATACATTTTTATATTTTAAAGCTAAGATTTGTGTGGGAAAAGTAAGCATTTTATCAGATGTAGAGTTAATGATGTACTGTGACAGATGCTCTCACCTGGGAATAACACATTTGCTTTATCCCCAGTTGGAAGGAAAAAAACCCACCACATGTCTAGTGCCTGAACCAAGAAATTGTGCCAAGACACAAGCCAAAGCATGCCAGGAAAAGCGAAGTGCAGCTGTACATGGTTTATGTCAGTCTCAGCCTGTTACGGTGGAAAAGAGGCTGCAAGAGGGACCTCTGGTGCTCAGGGAGGAGAAGCTGGGACTGTTTCTGTGGAAAGTGCAGTTTCTCACTGGTTATGGACTCGTTTCGCTACGTCCAGATCCTGCATGGTGGAGAGCCATGTGAGGTCTGCAAAAGGATCCTCCAAGGGGTCTGGGACACGTGCTTGCTGGGTCAACCTGTTCTCTACCAGCCAGACTGCTTAGAGGTCCAGGAATATGATCCTCTTGGGGATGGTGGCCTGTAACACAATGCACCAAAGTGCCTGCCGGGTGTCAGACTTGAGAGACTTAGTGTTTGGTGGTTTGTTGTTTTTTGTTTGGTTGGGTTTTTTTATATTAAAAAAAAAAAGGTGTCCCTCTTTCCACCACAGTCGTTGCCATGTGTTGCTCTGTGTGTAGTGGAATTTGTCCCAGCAACGTGTCTAAAGCTGGGGGTGTAGCCCTGGCAGAGCAGCACGAGAGCTGGTGTACACGTCCTGTCCTCCAGTCTGGTGTAGCTGCTCAGGACTCTTTATACTTACAGATCTAATAAATATCTTTGCTTGTTCTTGACCAAAACATTCCTACTTTATATCCATGACTGGTGGACAGTGCTGTGCAGCCCCCACAGGCTGTGCTTTCCCCCTGCCCTGGCGCAAGGCAGGGTTACACCAGATGGGGAGGCAGATGGAGGCTGCTGCTCTGCTGGAGGGGATGCAGCCGAGTGCTCGGTGCGGGATGAGCGGTGCCCCCGGACGGAGAGCGGGGAAGGATCCTGCAGCAGCCGCTGACGGAAGGAGTGGCTCTGTCCTCCCCTCTGCCAGGCAGTCGCCTGTTGGTGGGGCTTCAGCGTGTGCTTCAAAGCGTGCTGAGGGTTTTGTACTGCTGAGGGTTTTGTACTGGGGTTTTTCATCTT